GTGTACCTGACGCGGCGCGGGACGGTGCTCTCGGTGCCGGGCTCGCTGCTGTGGCGCCTCTTCTCGCCGGCCGACGCCTCGGCGCTGCCCCGCGACTCCAAGGGCCGCTTCTTCCTCGACCGCGACGGCTTCCTCTTCCGCTACGTCCTGGACTACCTGCGCGACCAGGAGCTGGTCCTGCCCGAGCGCTTCCCGGAGCGCAGCCGCCTGCAGCGGGAGGCCGAGTACTTCCAGCTGCCCGACCTGGCGCGCCGTCTGGCCGCCGCCGCCGCGCCCCCCCCGCCCCGCTTCTCGGCCCTGCTGCGCGACCCCTCCGTCTGCGCCGACGACCCGCCGCCGGGGCTGGGCTACCTGGAGGCGGAGCTGCCCGAGGCCGGCGCGTCGGCCTCGCCCACCTCCAGCCGCAGCCCGTCGGGGGGCCCCCTGCTGGCGCCCTCGCTCTCCCTCGACGCCGGCGGTGGCGGGGCGTCGGGCGGGCGGCGCTCGGGCTACATCACCATCGGCTACCGCGGCTCCTACACCATCGGGCGGGAGGCGCCGGCCGACGCCAAGTTCCGCCGCGTGGCGCGCATCACCGTGTGCGGGAAGACGGCGCTGGCCAAGGAGGTCTTCGGCGAGACGCTCAACGAGAGCCGCGACCCGGACCGGCCCCCCGAGCGCTACACGGCCCGCTACTACCTCAAGTTCAACTTCCTCGAGCAGGCCTTCGACCGCCTCAGCGAGGCCGGCTTCCGCATGGCCGCCTGCTCCTCCACCGGCACCTGCGCCTTCGCCCCCGAGCAGGGCGGCCTCGCCGACGACAAGATCTGGACCAGCTACACCGAGTACGTCTTCTGCAGGGAGTGAGGAAGGGCGGCCCGGCCCGGCCCAGGCAACACGCCTCGCTCTTGGGCCTCCAGACGTGCGCTGCCAGTCCCGTGTCCGCAGCTCCCCAGTGCTGTTGATCCCTTTCCTTTTCTGTCTTTTAAGTCCCAGCTGATGTATGGTGACTGATCATGATCGCAGGAGACCTTCGGGGTGGTTTGCTATTGCCTGCCCCCCGGGTGGCAACCCTGGACTGCCCTGGTGGTCTCCCAGCCAAGTACTGACCAGGGCCAACCGATGTTCCCTCTAATTCTGCCCCCCCCTCCCCCGCCTGAGCGGAGCAGCTCACACCCTGAGCAGAATGTAAGTGCTGGAATCTTAAAATGGGCAATGGGCAGTGCGGGTCCCTCCGTGGCCCCAGATCAATGTTCCCTCTAAGCTGTGGAGTGTTGTGTGCAAAAATTCTACGTTGCAAGCTACTGGCATTAAAGTTGTGACCGAGCGATTTGGCTACTGCATAAATTACTTTGCTCCGGAGCCATCCCTTCCTGAGCGAATACAAAAATGTGTGAGCTGGAGGCTAAGAAACTGTGAACTAGCTCACACTAACTCAGCTTAGAGGGAACACTGCCCCAGATTGCTGCTGAGCGGGGCTTCCTGGTTTACTGAGTGGCCCTGTTAGTGAGTGGCCGTTCATGCGCACAGATTCGGAGGAACTGCTGGGACCAACCCTGCCTAGCTTCTGAGATCTGATGAGATCCGGCTAGCCTGGGCCGTCCAGGTGGAGGCTGTTTATCTTTACGGGGCCTTTTCCTATCTGTGCGGTGGGCACGATTCCTGTAGGACTGTTGCCTGGCCATTCAGGGCACAGATGGCTTTGGCCCAGCTAGGTACCTGGGCTTCTGGAAGCCATGGCTCAGTGGTAGATCATTGGCTTGGCATGCAGAAGGTCCCGGGTTCAATCCCCGGCATCTCATAGAATCATAGAATGTTAGCGGTGGAAGGGACCTTGAAGGTCATCTCCAGTTAAAAAGATCTGGCCATGCTGAAAGACCCCTCTACCTGAGACCCTGGAGAGTCGCTGCCTGTCTGAGTAGACAATAGAGACCTTGATAGACCCGGGGTCTGATTCAATAGGAATCATGTGTTCGCAGCTGCATAAAAGGAAAGTTTGGCCCATCCTGGATTCTTTAAGTGCTGACTGAGGTGTGATGCTTGCCAGGCAAGAGAACTCACCTGTGTGACTCGGCCTGTGCATCTTCTCAAAGGCCCAATTGGACTGGAGGCTGATGAGGGCCCCCCCCCCAATAGTGTAATTCTGCATAGGCACAGGGCCTACTAAGACGGTGTGTGCTTCGTAGGCCCTTGGGGTATGGAACAGGTCACGGCCCCCTTGAAGCAAATGAGAGCCTGGGGGAAGTTCTTGGCCTCGCCACCCTCGGTTTTGAATTGGGCCTCAGCTTGGCTGCTTACCTGTGCAATGCATTGACAAGCACGTCACTAGCACATGGGTGCGGGAACTGTCTCGGCTACAGCCCTGGGGCATTCTATGCCCGTGTGGCTGCTTTGCCCCGGTTTAGAGGCCTAGTGCCAAATCGCACCCATGGCGTCTTCTGCCTGGCCAGCATCACATTTGACACCAGACCTAAAAACCTCGCTGTAGTAAAGCGACCCCTTCTGTGTAACTCTGCAGGATACAGATGCTCTCCTGGCAAGGCTGGCCTCCCTCACCTCGCAGTTGAGTGCCCTCTCTGGTATTCCTGCTTTCCCCACAGATTTATTGCGTGATGGCTTGTGGTGGTTTTGCCTGCTTCCACACACAGAGGATTCTCCATGTAGTTCTTGCAAATGCAGAGGTGCTTGCACTGGCAACAGAGTCCACCCAGTAGCTTTCTTTGTTGTGGTCCCTGTAGCCACCATTTTCTCCGGCTCCGGAGGGCTTTTTGAAAGAAAATTAGGTATTGCTACATTGTCATAATGCTTTAGCACTACAGCAGTTGGTTTAACCATCTGCCAGTTCCCAGCTTTCTTTCTTTCTTGCTAAAAAGCCAGTCTTCAGCCCTTTCATTGAGAAGGTATAAAGGGAAATATGCAGCCTGCGCATTTTGCCTTATAATTTTGCAAGGGAAAGGGGCTAGAGGCTTTTAACCTTTAAACTGTTCATTATTTTAAGATGAACGATGTACGCTAAGACTTTGCATTGGTCACTGATTTTATAAAAGTGTTTTATTTTGCTTCAGAATGGCCTGTGGGCCGTAATAAGAATGAAGCCAGAGATATTTTTTTTAAAGAAAACTGGGAACTACATGATGATTATTTTGTTTATATTTTTTAGATTTATAGCCCACTTGGTAAACTTATCACATCGTTCTTCCTTGCCTCTGTTTTAGCCTCAGAATGACCGGGTGAGGGGAGGTTAGGCTAGGTCGGTACAATGTCATTGTGCTATGGCTGTTGGTCAGTTACCATTTTTAGAAAAACCCTGAAAAAAATTGTGTGTGTGTGGGGGGGTAGGGGCGGTGGGTGAGCGTGCTGCGGTAAGGATAATGATATCAATCTGGGCGGGGGGCCTTCCAAAATAACACACCTTCTAAGTCTGCATGGCACCCCAAAGGCACTTTGCGTGTGATCTTTCCAAAAAGAGTCTACCAAACCAGGCTTAGGAAAGATCGCAGTGCACTGTGTGTGTGTAGAAGATAACATCATGTGGATGCTTCAAAAAAACAACAGAGCCGCTCTTAAGAACGCCAAGGCAGAGCAAAACATGCAGGAAGAAGCAGTCTCTGTGTGGTAGACTCATATGCCCCTAACGTAGGTACCCAAAGAACGCCTTCTGTTCACAGGATGGCAGGAGAAGTCCTTATCCCACTTTGCCAGAGGGCATCAGGAATGTCCCCGTTGACCCAGTGACCCTCTCTGTCCGCGGTGTGTCGAGGCATAGGCGTAATCTTCGTGGGGGCGGCGGGGCGGGAGCCCCCGCCGAAATTTTCAGGAAGGGACTCAGCCTCCCCCGGGAGCCACCCTTGCTCCTAGCCAAGCAATGCCTCTGGTCGAGCCCCAGCCCCCCCCGGGAAATTGGAAAGTCTACACCCTTGTGTCGAGGTAACACTTTCCAAAGGCTGCCTTACGCACAGTGTGGAAGCAGAGTCTCTGCTTAGGTCACTCGCTCTCGTGCATCGTAAATCACTGTCCTGTCAAGCTGTGTTTTCCTTTCTTTTGCACATGCAGTCCACCTTCCCTTTCAGGTGTGTGTGGGGGGGCAGAACACAGCACCTCCAGGGAAGACAGTTCCTCTTGCACACACATGTTGCCCTCCACATAACCGCGTGGTGCCATGAAGTGCCCCTTTCTCACATGCCCCTCTTATACCAGCTTTCCCAAGCCGTCCCTCTCGTATACCTGTGATGTCCTGGGAAAACATGTAAGGCTCCTCCGTCACGTGGCTCCCTGGCCGAATGGACGCAGTACCCTTCCGATGTCTCTTGGTGCGTGTAAAGTTCTCCTTTCCGAGATGCTGTCTGCCTGCTTCCACCGCTCTCCCCCATCTCCCAGCCTTTCCCCCCATTTTGGCATAGCGATGAGTCATCTGTTATATGATTGGTCCCTCCGCCCTCTCCCCCAGAAGGCCACCTTTCTCCCGGGAGCGGGGAGAAGGGAGCAGAGCAAAACTGCGGTGTTTTGAGATGAAGCACCTTTCCTCTAAATCGGATGTAGTGGATGGAATAGAACTGCTGTTTCTCCCTCGCATCTTTCCTGTTTGGGAGGGACTGCCCGGAAGCGTGTTCGGGGACTTCCTGCACCCTCTGATTCTTTTCGGCCTTCTCTGTCGTTTTCCAAAGCCTCCCCGTTCGGATCTCTTGAACTGCAGGACATACGTGGCAAGGATCAGCACTGCCGGCACCGTCCATCAAAGCAAGAACTTTCGGATAACCACTTGAACCACGGAAACCTCTCCTAGAGGAGCGGATCCCTTCCCGGACGTAAAGCGGCTGCTTCTTGCAACCTGGAAACTTAGCACAGGGGAACCTGTATACATTTGTGTAGACCAATAACTATGTGTGTATATTATATAAAAAAGTTCAGTTGCACATTGTTTAAATCCCCTGAAAGAGGTGGAATGTCTGCTCCCTGAGGCCCTCTCTTTGGCTGATGTTACGCCACAGATTAACAGACCCCGTTTGTGTTTTTGCAGTAAGGTTTTCCTGTTCCTTCCCATCTCCAGGGATAACTCTAAGGCTCCTTGGAAGCGTCTGTTCTTTTCCCATTTCTTGGGCAAAAAGAGTGGCATTTCTGAATGGGTTAGGTTGTGCTGGTAAACAAAGCGGTCGTGTGGACTTCGGGGGCAAGGTTTGGGCTTTCTCTCTAAACATTCCAAAGTGGCTTTGGTTCTGCCTGTAGCAAGAATGGGTCTTATTTGTTCTGGGCGGGTGTGGCCTCTCTGGTGTGGAGAATGCAGTCCACATGTATGCAGGAATTTAGGCTGGCGTGGTTTCATAGGAAGTAGCCATAACTGTCAGTGGTGCAGTTACCTATAAGCACAAGTCCCCCCCCCCCTCTGGTAGAAGATATTGCCTCATTCTCCCACAAAGCTGCTGAAGATCTAAAAACAAAAAGCACACTTCCCTTCGTAAAAGACCATCCATTTCAAATTGCAACCCCAGGGGATTCGGTCCCCCCCCCCACATAACCACAATAATCCTTGAGGTAGGGCAACATCTAAAATGTGTATGGTTTACCGATAACAATCCCAGTTCAGAGTTAAGACCGCTTATGTTCTGACCAAAGAATTCCCCCACAAGGTTTCATTTTAATTATTTCCCCCCAGAGCTCTTGCTTCGAGTAACAGAATTATTTCTTCTTTTTCTATTCAGTAAAGATCATACTGAGCTGTTTGGAGTTGAGAGAGAGAGAGAGAGAGAAAGACTCTCCTTTTAGCAAGGAGTACAGTGCAATTTAAACCCATTTACCTGACCTTCTAGAATTTCGTGAAATTGGACGAGACTCTATCCAGATGTTCAGACAACTCCGACCGATATAAGAGCATCACATGTTGTCGCTCCGTTGGGGATAATTGTAAGATGACATTTTTCGAAGAGAGCGAGAGCGAGAAAGCTTTC